ATGCCATCCCCCCCGTCCCCCTCCTCCGCTAGAGAGGTTGAGATCGAGAAGACACGCGTCTACTTCTTCGACGACAGGAGCGCGCTCCCGCCCCCGCAAGCGCTCAACGGGCACGGCCCTGATCGTAACAATATCGATGTTCCCAGCAAGAGGGAGGAAGGATTGCAAAAAAACCTCGTTCAAGAGGGTTTTTTTTGCACTCCTTCCTCCCTCGTTCAATCCTTCGTTCAAGAGGTTTTTTTTGCAATCCTTCGTTCGAGGACGGGGGAAGACAAACAAGGAGGACCGTGTGCGGGCCTCAATGGCGGAAGTGTCGTCGACTTTTCAGCATGGCGGGAAGCATGTAAGAGAGGTGCGTCGGCTTTCCCGAGCACCGTGTGCGATTTTCTGATCTGCCGCTCGTGCCCGCCTCAAGCACGGATCTGGTACAAGCGCATGACCTTGGACACAAGAGGCCCGCCTCGCAAGGGAGCCCATACGTATGACTTCTACGAATGCCAAGCCGATCACAGGGCACAGGGTTGACGGCGGCAACATGGCCCGTGTTCCGTTGGGCCCTCGGAACACTCGGCGGCGTGGCAGAGCCGCCTTGCGCCACATGCGGCTTTCTGAAGCTCCATCCGGAGACATCCCTATCCTGATGGTTGGCGTTACCTGATCTCGATGGCGACCTGGAGGATCCCCTGAGTCCCTCAGCCTTTAAGGACGCAACCCTAGGACTGTCCTTGCTGTTCGGCTGGTCAATCTTAGGTATAGGAATCAGCTCGAGGCTCGTTAGAAGTGGAGGGCATTCCAGCGGCTGCCAGTGAGCTATCGGTAGCCTCGCACGGGGTAGTGGGGCGGCAGCCCCGAGCAAGCCCCGGGGGAGACAGCGCATTAGGCGCGGTCGCTTTCTGAGAGGCAGCGGCGGGCGGAGCCCGCACACTTGGTGGTGTACAATTCGATGCGCAGATGACCTGTTTCGGGCAGGGCAGCCCTTGAGTGTTCGTGGGGGCTCCAAGCCCTCGACCAGCTGAGGGAGGATCGGCGTCACCCAAACATGCTGATGTATGTGTGCGTCGCCCCCCCCCCCCCCTGTCCCCCCACGCCAGGGGCGATGCGAGCGCCGAGAAATCTCATATTAGTTAAGCTTCGTGGTTGGCGCTTTCTGGTCTTACCGCTTCGTGGTTGGCGCGTTGGTATGTCCTTCTGCGTCCCCGAGGCGGAGCAGGAGGAGCGAGGAGGAGCATGAGGGAACGAAGGGGAGGAGGGTAGGCGGAGGGAGGAAGGGTTGTAGGATGTGCGGTGAAAGTGGGGGAGGGGAGAAGCGTGGGATGAGCAGGGCAAGGAAGCCGTGATAACCTCTCCGACTTCTTTCTCATGCTTTCCTCTCCACCTCTCCCCCCCTCACCAGAGGGGGCCTCGTCCTCCTCCTTCTTTCCCCTCCAATGGCGCGTGAAGCGGGATAATGATGATGCTGCTGCTGATGATGAGGATGATGAGGATGATGCTGCTTATGATGATGGCGATGGTGGTGACGGTGACGGTGATGCCGGTGACGGTGATGGTGGGCATTCGGAGAATGATGATGTCGGTGATGATGATATGCTGATGATGTTGTTGATGATGCTGATGATGCTGCTGCTGCTGATGATGATGATGCTGACGATGGTGATGATGATGATGATGATGATGATGATGCTGAAGATGTCGATTCATATGATGTTGATGCGGGTGATAATGCTGCTGATGATGACTATGCCGATGATGCTGCTGATGATGCTGATGCTGATGCTCATTATGCTGATTATCAAGGTGATTTCTGCTGATGATGATGGTGTTGATGTTGATGCTGATGATGATGATGATGATGCAGCTGATGATGAGGAGGAGGACGATTCAGATGATGATGATGATTGTTGATGATGATGCTGATGCTGATGCTGTTGATGATTAGTGGTGATGGTGATGATGTTGATTATGATGCTGATGATGACGATGATGATGATGATGCTGATGATGATGATTATGATGATGCCGATGATGCTGATGATGCTGATGATGATGATACTGGTGGTGATGGTGATGGCGATGGTTATGATGGTGGTGTTGGTTGTGGTTGGGGTGATGATGACGATTTTGATGATGGTGGTGGTGGTGATAATGAGTATGCATGCGTATGTTAGCGATGGTTAGGCTGATGTGGCTGAGGATGAATGCTTCTTATGCGGTTGAAAACGATGCGGCTTCTTATGATGGGTAATGCTAATGACCATGCTGGTCATAGTGAGGATTTCGATGCTGGTGCTGATGGTACGGATGGGCTTGATGATGATGTTTGCTTGTGGTGCTGCTGCTGATGACAGGTGATGAGGAGGATGCGATGGGGATGAGGCGGACCAGGGGGAGGAGGAGTAAAGCGATCATGCTTCTACTGGGCAACGTTATCGTCTTGAGCGGCGGCCAGGGGCGTGGTTTGCATGCCAAGAGCAGGATGGGCGCCCGGTGAGAACCGTTACCCGTGAGTCGTCGGTCGTCAGTCGTCGGTCGTCCGTCATCGTCGGAGGCGTGAGTTTGGAGATGATGATGATACTGATGCTGATGCTGATGATGATGATGATGATGATGATGATGATGATGATTGTGATCCTGACGATGATCATGACGATGCTGATGATTCCGACGATGCTGATGATGATGATGATGGTGATCATGATGATGCTGATGGTCTCATGATGATGATAATGTTGATAGCCATGCTGGTGACGACGATGCTGATGCTTCTGTTGCTGCGGCTGATGACGATGATGGTGATGATGACGATGCTGCAGATGATGATGATAATGATGATGGGATGGCGATTGCGGTGCTGGTCACGGTGACGATGACTACGATGATGCTTTTCATGATGATGATGGTGGTGATGATGATGATGATGATGCTGATGGTGATCATGCTCATGATGATGCGCATGGTTAGGAGGATGACGATGACGATGATTTTGACGGTGATGATGACGATCCTGCTGCTGATCATGATGATGATGATGCTGATGATGATGCTAATGATGATGATGATGATGATGATGATGATGATGATGATGATGATGATGATGATGATGATGATGATGCTGATGATGATGATGATGATGATGATGATGGTGGTGACAATGTTGCTGATGGGGCAGGTGAGGAGGGTGATGATATGGAGGGTGAGGACGATCAAGATGATGATTATGAATATGAGGACGATGATGCTGCTGCTGCTGATGATGATGATGATTCTGATGACGACTATGCTTTTGATGATGCTGTTGATGATTATGATACTGATGATGATGATGATGATGATGATGATGATTATGATGATGATGATGATGATGATGATGATGATGATGATGATGATGATGATGATGATGATGATGATGATGCTGATTATGATGATAATGATGATGAAACTGATGATGCTGATGATGACGATCATGCTGCTGAATATGATGATAATTATGATGGTGATGATGCTGCTCATAGTTTGGTTGTTGATTTTGGCGATGATGCATTGCGTGATGATGTTTTTGAATGGTATATCGACGTCGACGATGATGACGATGATGCTGATGGTGCCGATTGTGCTGGTGCCTCCGCTGATGACAGTTCGGATGGTGATGAGCCTGCAGCAGGAGTCATCGTTCTTGGAGTCGCTTGCCTGCAGGTTTGGCTATTTTCCGCGATCGCATTTCGAGCGGGATGTCGGATTCAAAGCTCCTCGCATTCTTCCTGCTCGCTGCCCCACCCCCTCCTCGTCCTCTTGCTCTTTCCACCTCTCTCTCCTTCGCCCCCACCCATTCCGCCTCATGACTTTGTCCTGATCGTGTTTTCCCTCTCCCTCCCTCCTCCCTCCTCCCTTCTACACCCTCCCTCAGGCGGATGAGGGGAAGGAGGAGGGAACGATTCGCGAGTCTGATGCTTGGCCCTGGCATCCTCTCGTGCCGGTGGTTGGGACATTGGGGTTGGGAGGTCTAGGTCGTTCGACGAGATGGACAGGATGACAACGAGGACGAGGGGGCCGTGATGAATGATGGCGGGGACGAGGTTGAGGAGGAAAGAGCGGAGGATGAGGCGCAAGGAGGAAATGGGGGAGGGGGGAAGAGAGGAGGAGAGAAAAGCGAGAAGGTGAGAGAGCTAGGGGGAGAGAGGGAAACGTGGGAAGGCAGGGCATTGTCTTGAGTTCCTCGTCTTCTGGAGCAGGAGAGGACGGGTGGTGGGACGGGATGGGGGGGGGTGGAGCGGGCCGGGGTGTGAAAGGATGAATTTGAGGAATAGTGAGAGATGCGTATGGGGTGGACGAAGTGGAAGGGAGGTAGATGGGAGAGGGGTTGTCACGCTTGCGCGTGGCAGTCGGTGAAGGACACGGGGAGGGGGGTTATGGCGGTGAGGGCAGAGTGAGGGAGGGGAGGGTGGATGGGTGGATGGGTGGAAGGGCATGGTAATGCATGGAAAGTGTTTGAGCGGGGGGTGGTAGAGGGAGAGGAGCAGGGTGCAGGAAGGAGGAGTGACACGTGGGATGAGGCTCCCGCCGACCCCCCCCCCCCCCCCACGCCAGCGCCGAGAACGTCAGGCAGTTCAAAGGGACAGGCGCCGCGCGCACGAAGAGCACGCGGGGGCCCTCGCGCCCCTCCCCTCCTTCGCTCCTCCTTCTCCTTACCGCGTTCCCTGCCCTCCTGTTCTCCTACGCTTCTCTGCCTCCACCTTCCCTCTTCTTCTGCTGCTGCTCCTCCTCCCCTCCTCCCCCTCCTACAGATGAGTCCTCCCCATCTCACCTCCAGGCGTGTCGGTCGGGCGGGCTGGATGTTCCACCTGATGCCCCCTTCCTATTGTAGTGGCCTTCGGCCAGTGCCGCCGATCCGGGTCGCTCGGGGTTATTCTCCAGACGCAGAAATTATGGGCGCACACTCAAACGCACACACACAGTCACACCACTTAACCTGCGCCGCAGACATGCGCACACAGCATCACCCACACACACATACTAGTTGGGAAACGCTCCTGTAGTACTAGTAGTAGTATTAGTAGTAGTAGTAGTAGTAGTAGTAGTAGCAGTAGTAGTAGTAGTAGTAGTAGTAGTAGTGGTAGTAGTAGTAGTAGTAGTGGTTGTGGTAGTAGTGGTAGTAGTAGTAGAGGCCTCGTTCCGCGGCTTCTCTCGACTTCCCGCGGTCTCTCTCAAGTTTCGAGCACGCGGTGAGTTTCACGATATATGTGTGTGTATGTACGCGTGCATGCATGTATGCATGCATTGATCATGTGTGCCTGTGTGTAGGTACGTATGTATGTATGTATGCTTGTGCGCGTATGTATGTATTTAGTTTGTATGTATGTTTGTATGTGTGTATGATAATATGTGTGTATGTGTGTGAATGTAAGTATGTATGTCTGGAAGATTGTTTTTCTATGTATGCAAATGTGTTTAAATGTAGGTATGTATGCATGTGTGTATGGATGTGCGTTTGAAGAGCGAGGATGTTTCAAAGAAGAGGCACTCGGTGACGCGATCGTTGAGGGATAGGAGTGAGGTCGCAGAGGAGGAGGAGGAGAATGAGGAAGAGGCGATAACTTGAAGGAAAACGATGAGACGGAGGACATCCTGCCGGTGGCGCCCTGGGCGGTGCCGCGGAAGAAACCGGGGGCCTGCCGGAGGCAGTCTGGAGGCCTCTGGGGAGCTGTTTTGGGGCCTCTTGGAACCTCTTTTGGGCCTCTTGTGGGCTTCTTGGGGCCCCTTGGGGGTCTCTTGGGGCCTCCTGGGGGCCTCTTGGGGCGGAAAGCTCGGTTCTTTCGGTTCGTGGTCCCCCTCTTGGGCCCCTCTTGGGGCTCTCTTGGGGCCTTCTTGGGCTGTCCAGAGGCCCTCTTGGGCCGTCTTGGGGCCCTCTTGGGCCGTCTTGGGGCTCTCTTGGGCCGTGTTGGAAGCATCGTGGGCCGTCTTGGGACGGACTTGGGGGCCTCTTGGGCCGTCTTCGAGCGTCGGACGCCCGAAAAGGCAAGAACGCTAAAAACCCTGAGAAAACCAATGAAAATCAACGATTCTGGCCTCTTGGGGCCCTCTTGGGAGGCCTCTTGGAAGCTTCTTGGGGCGTCTTGGAGACACCTTGGGCCGTCTGGAGGCCATCTCGGGCGTCTTGGAGCGATTTTTCGGCGACTCGGGGCCCTCTTGGAACCCCTTGGGGGTCTCTTGGGCCCCCCCCCTCCTCCAAAGCGCCGGAAAAAGCGGAGCATGGCGCCCCCCCCCCCCCTATCTTCCACTCCCCCGGAGCGGCCCCGGGGTTCGCCGGAAACTCGCACCCCCCCCCCCCCCCCCACCCCCCCTTCCCCGGCAGAGCCACCCCGGCGACCCCCCCAGAGGCTGAAGCTCAGCCTCGAGGCTGTAGCTGAGACTCCTTGAAACTCACACGCCGGATCGGCGGATTTCTGATCATGAACCTCGAACTTTGCACCGGTTATGCAGATGGAGGATGTGGTGCCCTTGGTTTTCAAGCTGTGCCTCTCGCATCGGCGCGCACATCCGTATCGGGTCGAGGGCGGCTCCTTTCAAACGGGGGTCCTCGCTTTAGCACCGCGCGCACTCGTCTGAACATTGGGCTCTCGTTGGGGTCCTCCTTGAATCTAGAAGCCTGAACGTTGAACACATGTAGCGGCTGCCCGGATGGCGGGTTGTTCCGTGACAAAAGGAGGCCTCTACCTGGATATGTCTTCCAATTTCGTGGCCATACGTGTAACCTTGCGCACCACTTACACAGATGGGGGCGGCCCTTTTTCGAACGGACCTATGCATGACACTTGTTGAGCTGCATTTTCGCGTCCGTTAGGAGTATGCAAGGCAGTTCCTTTTCCACACGGGACTCTTGTCTGAACAGCAAGCCCATAGGGAGTCTGTCTTTCAAGAAGGCGCTCCGTGCAATGACAAGGAAGGCCTGCACGGGCTTGTGAGGAGGGGACATGCCACGGATGCATAATATATTCACTCTGCTTCTCTTCCTCCTTCTCCTCCTCTCATCCTTGGATCGGCCCCCTGCGTCACCTGGTCGTGGTCCTCCCCTTCGCTCTCTTCACTCTCTGTTCCCGCCCGGGAGGGTTTTGTGATTTGTTTCAAGCTGTTGTTTGCGCTTCGGTCCCACCCCGCGGCACCTATAGTTTGCACAATGCGGGTCGCACTCGCATTTCCCTCCGCACCCACCTCCCCCTCACCTGCGAACCAAACACAGGGAAGCGAAGCCGAAGGCTGCTGAGCGCACGCGCACGAGAGCCGCACGTGGCGGCCGAGCTGCTGCGGCTCTTGTTCGCGGAATGCCGACCACCCCCCCTGCCCGCTGCCTCCGAAGAACCCGCCGCCCCTGCTCGAGGCACATCCCGCTGCGGCCAGCGCTGGGTTCTCGGATGCCTCCCCTCGCGTCGTGAAGCGAATCGTTGCGGACGTCTTTTTGCTATTGGAGAGGCCTTAAGGCCGGCGCCGCCGACCCTGAACGACGACGACGACGACGACAACGACGACGACGACACCGACGGCGGATGCGGCGACGGGGATGGCGAAGACGACGACGACGTCGGCGACGGTGGCGGCGACGACGACGACGACGAGGACTTCGAGGACGACGAGGACGGGGACGAGGACGACAACGACGACGACGACCACAACGACGACGGCCACGACGACGACGACGACGACGACGACGACGACGACGACGACGACGACGACGACGACGACGGCGACGACGACGACGACGACGACGACGACGACGACGACGACGACGACGACGACGACGAGCGCTCTCGGGGGCCTCTTGGGGGTTGTTTTTGGGCCTCCTTGGAGGCTTTGGTGGGCCTCTTGGAGCCGTCTTGGGGGCCTTTTGGGCTGTCTTGGAGCCCTCTTGGGCGATCTTACCTCTTGGGTCGTTTCCTGGAAATCTGTGATTGTTGGCCCTGGTGGCCATCTTGGGAGTGCTCTTGGAGGCCTCTTGAGGCGTTTTGAAAACCTGATGAGCCGTCGGGAGGCCACTTTGGCGTCTTGGAGCGGTAATTCTTTACGCTTCGCGTATCCCCACCAGCCCATCTCACAGCAGCAACTCTCGCGAAGCATGCCGACAGTCGTGTTTTTCAGGCGTGTGTCCGCTTGGCCCCGCATATCTCCCCCTGTTCCTCCTCCCTCCCGCCTCCTTGTACATCCTCCTTGTGGGGGGAGCGGGAGAAGGACGAGGCGGAGGAGGAGGGAGAGAAAGCGCTCCTCGTGGTTTGAGTCGTTTGGGGTTTCTCGTCCTGGTGTGATTCGTTCGGGCCCCTCCTTGTGTGTGAGTCGTTCGGGCTCCTCGTGGTGTGAGTCGTTCGAGCCCCTCGTCCTGGTGTGAGTCGTTCGGGCCCCTCCTTGAGTGTGAGTCGTTCGGGTTCCTCGTGGTGTGAGTCGTTCGGGCCCCTCGTCCTGGTGTGAGTCGTTCGGGCCCCTCCTTGTGTGTGTCGTGCGGGCTCCTCGTGGTGTGAGTCGTTCGGGCCCCTCGTCCTGGTGTGCCTCGTTCGGGCTCCTCCTTGTGTGTGAGTCGTTCGGGTTCCTCGAGGTGTGAGTCGTTCGGGCCCCTCGTCCTGGTGTGAGTCGTTCGGGCCCCTCCTTGTGTGTGAGTCGTTCGGGCTCCTCGTGGTGTGAGTCGTTCGGGCTCTTCGTGGTGTGAGTCGTTCGGGCCCCTCGTCCTGGTGTGAGTCGTTCGGGCTCCTCGTGGGGCTTCTTGGGAGCCTCGTGGGGGCCTCCTGCTGCCTTGTGGGCGCCTCTTGGGAGCCTTTTGGGAGCCTCTTGGGAGCCTCTTGGGGGCTCTGGGGGCCTCGTGGGAACCTCTTGGGGGCCGCTTGGGAGCCTCTGGAGGCCTCTTGGGGGCCTCGTGGGAGCCTCTTGGAGGCCTCTGGGGTGCCTCCTGGGGGCATCTTGGGGCCTCTTGGGGGCTTCTTGCGACCTCCTGAGAAGCGCAAATGAGCGCTACCCCCTCAGAAGGACAAAATGAGCCCCAAACCTTCGTAAAACCAAGAATTTTGAGAAGAAGGAGCAGCAGCGCTGGCCCCTCAGACGGCCAAAATGGGGCCAAAACCGTAATAAAATCAATGATTTTGGCTTCAGAGAAGAGGTGAGCATTTTTTTCTACACCCCCCCGTCGGGGCCAGAATCCTCGTGAGGGTCGTCGTTTTTTGGCCCTCCCAGGAGTCGGAAAAGACCCCCCCAACGACCCGCGGGAATCCCTCTCCAGACCCAGGGGGAGGGGAGGCCCGCGTCGTGGTGTGAGTCGTTCGGGCTCCTCGTGGTGTGAGTCGGTCGGGCGCTTCGTCCTGGTGTGAGTCGTTCGGGCCTCTCCTTGTGGTGTGAGTCGTTCGGGCTCTTCGTGGTGTGACTCGTTCGGGCCCCTCGTCCTGGTGTGAGTCGTTCGGGCTCCTCCTGGGGCCTCTTGGGAGCCTCTTGGAGGCCTCTTGGGGCCTCTTGGGGGGCCTCTTGGGGGCCTCTTGGGGGCCTCTTGGGAGCCTCTTGGGGGCTCTGGGGGCCTCGTGGGGGCCTCTTGGGGGCCTGTTGGGAGCCTCTGGGGGCCTCTTGGGGGCCTCTTGGTGGCCTCTTGGAGGCCTCTTGGGAGCCTCCTGGGGGCATCTTGGGGCCTCTTGGGGGCCTCGTGCGACCTCCTCAGAAGCGCAAATGAGCGCTACCCCCTGAGAAGGACAAAATGAGCCCAAAACCCTCGTACAATGAATGCTTTTGCTAGGAAGGAAGATGAGCGCGGCCCCCTCGGGAGGCCAAAATGGGGCCAAAACCCTCGTAAAAGCAAGGATTTTGGCTTCACAGAAGAGGAGGGGGCTACAAGAGCGCCCCCCCGTCGGGGCCAGAATCCTCGTGAGGGTCGTCGTTTTTTGGCCCTCCCAGGCGTCGAAACAGACCCCCCTGACCACCCGCGGGACTCCCTGTCCAGGCCCAGGGGGAGGGGGTAGGGGGAGGGGTAAACCCCTCCCCGAAGGGGAAGAAGGGAGGTTGGGGGGTTGAGGACAGAGGGGGCTCTCTAAACCACTCACGCCCAAAGGGCTGGTGGGATTCGGTGATTCGGGGCCATCGAGGACCGTCTTGGGGGCTTCTTGGGGCACTCTTGCCGCGTCTTGGCGCCTTTCTGGGCCCCAGACTCGCCCGGGGGGGAATGCGTATCTGGGGGCGACTTCCACACGCCGACAGGGTCGGCGGATTCTCGGCCTCCGCTGGCTCTTGCCGGCCCCAGAGACTGTCAGAAAACCACTCGGCATGGAAAGACAGTCCCGGGGAAGGGGTCGAGCATCCGGGGGTCCACGCTGTGACAACAGACATCGTGACGTCTGTTCTGTGATCTGGGGCCGCGGGGGAGACCGCCTCGGGCAGCTGTGCTGACGAGGAGGAGGGGGAGGCGGCCCACATGGATGGTGCGGGCGAAACGTCGCCCGCACAGCCTGCCTAAGAAATAAGAGGCGGCCCACGACCCCCGCGGGCATCACTTGCGGCACCCAGGCCGTGCGCCTCTTCGTCGTGCAGACCTGAGGTCCTGGCTTGGCTCGGTTCTCGCGCTGGCGGAGACGTGCGGCAGCTTCGCGCCGTGTCGTCGCGACGACGAACCCAGCGCGGGCATTCAAGGCTGAACACCGCCAGTGGCCCACAATCGGCCACTATATGGAACTACCTGGCGATTGGGAAGCCGCCGATCGTCGAAGGTTGAACGATTCACGCGGTGTCTGAGACCAATGCCAGGGTTGTCATGACACGATCCTGCCGCGCCCACCTTGGAGTATTTCCGCCGCGAGCTACGCGCAGGGCTCTGGGCGCTGCCCTCGGGCCTCCATGCTGGCGGCTTCTGCGCTCGTTCGCTTGACCTGGTCGGCGGCCCCCTCGCCTCGCGTTTGAGGCGTGGGCGCCCAGGGGCCACCGAGGCTTGGAGCCGGCTGGGGGACTGACGTGGCTCAGCACTGGTTCTGGCTAGCAGAAAAGGGAGGAGCAGGGCGCCCCTCGTCGCCACGGCCGTGCGCGGCTCGCAGCCTAGTCAGTTTCGACCCCGGGAGCGATTTGGTGATCGATTTTGAGTGAATCTGCTTCCTCCCCCCCGCGTGACCGATCGTTTTTGGGCTGATCCAGCTCAGATCCTCTGGCCGCCAGTAAGAAGAGGCCAACGGCCCACCCCGATCCCGCCCTCCGCCGCCTCACGGCGATGCAGGCCAAGCGGCAGGCGGCCACTGTCTTTGAGCCTCTACCCCGGCCTCGGTATTCCATGCCGCCCGAATTGTCTTGAAGCAGATGGAGCCAGAAGACTGCGCCGCATCTCTGATGCATCGACGATGCGGCGCAATGTGGAGCCCGACCCGACTTTTTTCACGCCGACGTAGCCGATGCATCGGCGACGCGTTGGCTATGCGCCGCGATCCTCGGACTCCATCTACTCGGACCCCTTTTCGGAGGTCTCTAAGTCTGCCGTCCGATTGCGCGCGCCAATCTCTACTCCCTCCCCCGCAGTCGCGATCTTGGACCGCCAGGAGTGCTTCGCCCTCCTCATCACCCGCATCTGCCTCCACCTCGCTGCCGATGCGTCGTTTCCTTGATCATGAATGGGGGCGGTGTATCCGCCCGCCCGCCCCAGCGGCCGCCTTCGAGGCAGCTCTGGTCGGCCGAGGATATCGGGCCGACCGGCAGCGCCATTTCGCGCCGCGTTGCCTCGGCTCCTCCGTGTCAGCAGCCGCCGACATGGAGGCCTCTTCGGCTGAGGCCGCGGCCTGTGACGCCTTGTCAGGTCGTCGGCTCCACCCTGACAAGAGGGGCCGGGTGGGATGCTGCTCCAGCTCTGCTTGGCGAGGTCGTGCGCCGTCAGCTGCGTGGGCGGCCTACTTGGACGCGGCTCCCGACCCCGAGCCCGACGACCTCAGCCTGTCCGCCCAAACCGATGGCCGCATCCACCGCGCCATCGTGCGTCTCCCTCGCACTGGACGCCTTCTCTTGCCCAGCGCTGACAGCGCGCCTCCGACTCGGACTCCTGCCGCCGCCGCCTGTGCAGTCGGGGTCGACACGCACAGCCTTCCCCGAAGCACCGAGCAGACAAGAGTGTCCAACAGAGCCATGGTTCGCCGCCCTTTGGCCAGACGTTAGTGTGTTGGGGGCTGTGCTTCTTGGCCCTCGTGGCCGCGTGTGTTCTTCGGGCTCCCCTGTGCGCAATTCGCTTCGCTCTGGCCCAGCGCTCCGACCGACTGGTGCGTTCGCCGAGCCCGCGACCAGAAATGGGTGTTACTGCGTGCTCAGTAGACGTCGCTCGGCAGAAAGCGATTCTTGCCGTGCGGAGGCGTTGCCTGCGGTGCCCGCGCCTAAACCATATGGCGCGCCACCTCCCCACCGCCCCTCCCCTCCCCGCGCGTCCCTCCCTTCCTCCTTCCATCCTCGAGGCGCAGCAGCAGGAGGAGCCCCCCCCCCGCCGCAGGGATGAACGCCCAGCAGATCTCGTGCACCAGCCGCGACAAAGGGTGCCCCCCCTCTGCCGCGCCCGCGCCACCGCAGGCCGCTGCCGCCGACTGCTGCAGCTGGTGGCGAGGAGGATCTATCCATCTCCTTCTCCGTGTTCCTCCTCCTCCTCCTCCTCGTTATCATCAGCATCCTCTTTCTCTTCCTCCTCCTTGTCTTCCTGTCCCTTCTCTTTCTCCATCTCCTCACTGCCTGGCACCGCCTCCTGTGCTGTGGCAGCACATGTTGTCCGTTGGAGCGCTCGAAGGCCTGGCCCAGGCGGCGATGCGCAATCCTCGGCCCCCTCGACCTCCGTTTGTTTTTATCTCTTGCCCAGGCCCCCCCCGGCAACGTGTAGCCGCATAGCGTCACACAGGTCTGTTGCGGCCAGGAGCCTCGCGGGCAACACATCGTGCTGCCGCTCATCCTCCTCGTCTTCGGTTCCCTCCGTCCCTCGTTTCCTTCCTCCCTCCATTTTTCCTCCCTCCTCCAATCCGGTCCTTCCTCCTTTTCATCCTTCCCCTCTTTCCATTCCATCCCCTTCCCCCTTTCCCCTCGTACTCTCCCCCCTTCTCCCCCCGTCCCTATCTTCCAGTCAGTAGGGGGATGTGAACATGCGGAGCAGCGTCAGCAAGAGGGATGAAGATGGTAGAGGCAATCGCAGCATATTGAGGAAGAGCCGAATGAATGGCGATGGCGGTAGCATTGTCGATGAGAACGGTGGTGGTCATGACCATGGTGATTCTGATGTTGATGATGGTGGTGTGGATGAGGAGGATGAGGAGGGGGACCAGAAGGATGCATGGTTGGTTGGTTCGTGTCTTGGTTGGTTGTCTGGTTGGCTGGCTGGTTGGTTGGCTTGTTGATTGGCAGGCAGGCTGGCTTGTTGGTTGATCGGTTGGCTGGTTGGCCACCTTAGCGTTTGTTGATTGCCAGCTCGTATTCGGATTTTCAGTAAACGAAGTATTGTGCAAATGCGAGTGTTTTGCGACGCAATGCGCTGCACTGAAATGCAGTGCACACAATTCAATGCCAATGCAATCCAACGCAATGCAATGCAATGCAATGCAATGCAATGCAATGCAATGCAATGCAATGCAATGCAACGCAACGCAATGCAATGCAATGCAATTTCGATGCAATGCAGCGGAAACGGATATTTCTACACGTCACATGGCCACGCCTCTGGGCAGAACATATCCGGAAGGGCTTCGCCCCCTGCCGCCGGCCCCCTCTCTATCATAATAGGAGATACGTATAAGAGACGCGTCGGTGCGTTTCGGCGCTGCCTTGGCGCATCTGGGAACTTCATGCGGGGGCTGATAGGAAACATGAGTCGTCGGCGTTATTTCGGACGCCTACGGCGAATCATCGCCGCCCCCTGCCTTTTAGGATGCGCCTATGTGGCCAAACGTTTGGGCAAAGTTTGACCCAAGCTATTGGGCCAAGCGTTCCCCCAGCCGTGGTAGAAACGCTTCGGGGAACACGTGGGGTAGAAGGCGGGTGATGAGGAGGAGGAAAACAAGGGAGAAGGAGGAGGAGGAGGAGGAGGAGGAAACCGCTTGGGAGCCTCCTGGGCCCCTTTTGGGTCTCTCTTGGGCCTCTTGGGGGTCTTTGGAGGCTTCTTGCGAGCCTCTTTGGCTGTCTCAGGGCGTTCCTGGCCCGTCTGACGCCGTCAGAAGACGTCCTGGAAGCCTTTCCGGATTGACTTGGGGCCGCTTGGGGCGCTTCAGGGCCGTCTTGGAGGCCAGCTTGGGCGTTTTGAAGGCCTCTTGGGCCGTCTTTGGGCTCTTTTGAGGCCGTCTTGGGAGCGTCTTGCACCGTCATGCGGCAAAATATGAGGTCTCGTGGGCGATCTTGGGGGCCTCTTGGGCCGTCTAGGGACGTCAGAAAGCCGAAAAGAAGGAAAGACAGAAAACCCTTCAACAATCCAAGGGAGAGCAATCATTGGGCCTCTTCAGGCCTTCCTGCAGGACCTCAGGGAGGCCTCCTGGGCTGTCTTGGGGGCCTCCTGTGCCGTCTTTGGAGGCTTCTTGGGCCGACTTGGAGGCATCTTGGACCCTCCTGGGCCGTCGTTGAGGCCATCTTGGACCATATTGGGCGAACTTGGAGGCCATTTCGGGCCATCTGAGACGTCTTGGAGGCCGTCTAGGGCCATCTTGGAGCGGGAAAGGCGTTCAACCGAGGATTTGTTTGTGGATGTTGAGGTCGTTTCTGGACTTTGTGCGTCCTTCCGGGTGGCTGGCGGGCTGTGCCGGAGCCCCAGGGGGAGTTTTTCTGGAAAAGAACCAACACCAAAAACGGTAGCGTCTAGCACCCCGGGCGCCTCTGTGACAAGCCAACAGGGGGCGGCCGATCTTAGTGGCCTTTGGCCCATCCCGCTTCCGTGCTTGGGTTGTGGGTCTGAGGCCTCTTGTACATGTGTTGGGGTGTCGTGGGGAGCCTCTCGGGGGCCTCTTGGACCTTGGAGGCGGTTTGGGCGCCTCTTGGGGGCCTCTTGGGGCCTTGTGGGGTATCTTTTGGACCTCCTGGAGGCCTTTTGGGCGCGTCTTGGGCGCCTCTTGGGGCCTCTTGGGGCCTCGGGGCGGCCTCTTGTGGCCTCCTTGGAGCATGTCGGGGCACAAATATCGAATGTTCGGTTGGTGGTCCCCTGCTTGGGCCCCTCTTGGGGCCGTCTTTTGGCCCTCTTGGAGTGAGCGCTTCTTGGGCCATCTTGGAGCCCTGTTGGGCCGTCTTGCGGCCCTCTTGGAGGCGTTTTGGGCGGTCTTGGGAGCGTCTTGAGCGGTCTTGGAGCGTCGGAAAGACGACAATGCGAGAAGGCAACATCCTTCAATAACCGTCGTAACATCTACGATTTTGGCCTCTTGGGGCTCTCTCGGGAGACCGCTTGGAGCGCCCTTGGGGCCTCTTAGGGCCCCATTGGGCCGTCTTGGAACCATCTTCGGCAACGTGGAGCACTCTTGGCATCGGCAGTGTGAGTATGACATAATTCTCAAAGCTTTCTGGCTTCCTGAGCGCGATTTTTTTCTAATTTGCAAAGTGTGTTGCCTCGGGGACGCGAACATCGTGTAATTTACACTGATTCGATACCTCGGGGACGCAAGACTTGCGTCATTTATGAGGGTTTGTGAGCTCGGAGACGCGAGCACGTAATTTACGAGTGATTCTGGCTTCGGGGACGGGAATCTCATGTATTTCTATGTGTCCCACGACCCCCCATGAATTTCGAGAACGCGATCCGGGCGTGGTAACCGGGCGGTTTTGGGCTCCCCCTCCTCGCGCGGCCTAAAACAATTTACAGTAGGAAGCAGAAAGCAGGACTGTAACGTTGGAGACTTGAGACTGCACCTGGTGCAGGGAGCAGCAACTTCGTCCTGCAGCCTGGTGGCCCCGCAAAGGTGCCGGCGGATACTTCCACTTTCTTTGCTACGTGGCAACGTTTGCAGACGAACACACACATATTGTTACGCTCTACTCGTCATGCGACGACGCTGGGGGGGGACGAACAACAAGTTCTGTTCCACTCCACTCGCCACTTGGTATCGTTTTGGGAGGGCGAATAACGAGTATTCCATTCTATCCGTTACCGAGAACAGTTAAATTATACTACGCTCGCCACGTGGCAACGCTTGGGAGTCAAACAATACTATGCCACCATACTCTTCACGTGGCAACGCTGAAAGGTGGACACATACAATTCTACATTACTCGCCACCTGGGACCGCGGGGGGGCACACAACTCGACTTGCCACGCGGCAGCGCCGCTGACGACGACTACGACCGACGACGACCGACGACGACGGACGAACGACGACGGAAAACGACGACGACGAAGATGCTGATGATGATGATGATGATGATGATGATGATGATGATGATGAGGATGAGGATGAGGATGAGGATGAGGATGAGGATGAGGATGAGGATGAGGATGAGGATGAGGATGAGGATGAGGATGAGGATGAGGATGAGGATGAGGATGAGGATGAGGATGGATGAGGATGAGGATGAGGATGATGGATGAGGATGATGATGATGAGATGATGATGATGATGATGATGATGATGATGATGATGATGATGATGATGATGATGATGATGATGATGATGATGATGATGATGCTGATGATGATGATGACGACGATACAACGACGATGACGACTGACGGAATGTGCGTGCAAAGTCAGAGGCTTGAATTAGTCATCAACCTCGCCCTTTTCTTGGTATGATCAACCGGAGAACTTCCTTTCTCTCCGCTTCTGCTCCTCGGTGCGCCGCTCGCGTTCCCCTCCCGCTTTTATGTCTCGCTCCCCTTTTCTATCCTTAGCCACTCCCTGCCTCCATTCTCCGTCATTCGGTATCAGACCTCCCCTCCTCTCCTCTTCGTCGTCCCTCCCCTGCGTGACTGTCCAGACCGTTGCGGCACATGTTCGAAAAACACAGAACAAATCTGTTCTGTCATGTTCTGCTCGGGTATGTTCTGTGATATGCTGGTGCCCTCTATTTTGCCATGCTGTTGATGTGTTATGTTCTGCCATGTTCTGTCATGCTCTTGCTCTGCTCTGTCATGTTGTGTTGTGCCATATTTTGTTCTGTCGGGTTTGTCGAAGGCACGAGGCGGGACACCCGGGATTCTCGGGACAACTTAGGGTCTGGCGGCCGCGGTATGCAGGGTGTGTTCTGTTGTGTTTGTCGAGGGCGCGAGGCGGGATAACCGGGACGCTCGGGGCAATTTGGTCTGGCGGCCGCGGTATGCAGGGTGTGTTCTGTCGTGTCTGTCGTGGGCGGGGGGCAGGGCGTCCGAAACCATTTTGGCTTTAGCCATTTTGGCTCAAGTTCCCAACCCCGCCCACCAGCAGTTTTGGCACTGAGCCGCGCGCGCCGCGGCGCGGCGCATGCAGAGCCTGCCCGGGGGGTGCTGGTTGTGCCTTCCGCTAGGCCTGGCCTGGCACCTGGCGGTCGGCCAGGCGCCGCCGATCCCTGCAGCTCCGGGCGTGTGGCAAGATCCCGGCGATGCCGCCGAA